GTTTGACTTTCCTTTATTATTACTCACCTTGCTAAGACTCCGACACCCAAGTTTCTTTCCTTCGATCTCTTGTCTTTTTATTTTCACAAATCATTCATCTACTTCCCCTCGCTGGATTCGCTTCCCTTCGACCTGCTGTTCAGTTATTATCAATCACTCACTCCCTTGTTAGTTTTCACTTCCTAACTTAAACACATTGCACACAAACTGTGTGTAAACATCAGAGCCTATTGGCGTAAAATCATCGTCAACAAAAGGGTTATTTGTTAAGTTCCGATCCATTGATTTGGCATCGAATACTACCTCATTAAAACAGCCTCCTCGATTTTAGCCTAATCGACATTCTCGGGGCAAACACTAAGATTATTATGGCAATTAATGTTTTCATCTCGCGTCTTCGGCGGCATTTTTCTTTCAGCTGATACTTTCAAGGGCGTTTTTATCTCGTGTGGAATCCAAGTTACGTAAAATGCTTTTAAGGACTTGATAAAGTTAAGGACACAGACAATTGCAAAGTGTTTCTATCTCAGTAAATTGACAATAAATTGACATATATTGATGTATAAGTCCCTTTATTTTGCTTAACAATACTGGCAACCGATTTCCATGTCAATCATCATATCATTTTTCCGTAAGGATGGAAGGGTTTATCAAAGGTGGATGCCCTACCCTGATCGAATTGATAAAAGTTGAATTCTCCGACGTTCAATAAATTCTCGATCCTACAAAGTGGCATTGTTCAAAGGGATTCCAGAGAGCACAAATTGGCTGAAGCATTAACCATCTACAACTTCCCTGATGGACCGATGGAGATGGTTCATTACATGCGTGTTTGCATGAGAATGCGATCTTTTTTATCTTTTTTTAACCACTTTCAGCTCTCAAAATTGTCTCATGTTACAGAAAAAAAAACTGCCTAGCAAATATTACTGAATTACCATCAAAGACCAACCCAATCTGGAGGAAGTTACCTAAAATGATGAATAATGCCCGCAGAAGTGTGAAAGTCAAAATTGTTGGGTAAATCTAGATCTGCTGAGAGAATGGTTTTCCTTCCATTTGTATGGTTGTTTACTTTAATTAAGAGAAACGCTTTTATTACTAGATATAGGTTCTTCAAGAGGGCAAAACATAGAACCTCTCCGCTTTTCCGTATACTCTATTCCTAAATCCTTTCAACTTCTAAGAATTAGCTATGATCTCCTCGACCCCAGTTTTGAACTATTTGAGTTTTTTTACGTCTACTGGCTCAGAAGATTTTAAATAATATTTTGGGTCTGTTATTGAACTTCCAAGTTGCGGCGGCGCGGGCGTAATACCGTTTTTTTTTTCGCGTGACTCTCTAGCTCTCTACAATATCATGCCGTGCGGTAAATAAATATTCAGTCACTGTTTTTTGGGCTCTAATATCTCCGTTCAAGTATTCAATTGTCATAAATGACTTACACACTGAATTATAAACTCTAGCGTTTCAAGGGCCTTAAAACTAATGTGAAAAGGTATTAACTGGAGCCAGAAGTGAAGAACTTCGTAGAATCATGTTTTGCTTTGAGGATAAACACTTCCCACCGACAACATATTCACCCTCTTATTTCCTTGGCCGTTTCCGTAAACTGTAGACTCTCGTTTTTCTCCTCCTCTTTTTTTTCTCCCATCCCTTTGTGTTTCCTTCCTTTACTTGCCTACTCATGAATATCGCGAGTGAACCTTGATGATCATTAGAGGAAACACCTTTTTTTAGACAGTTTCATCAGAGCGTGAGAGCTCCGTATTTGCCTTATCTCCCACGTCAGCCAAAAAATAATATTGCTTTTAAAAAAAAGTCCTTAAAACTTCCACAAGGGGTTACAAAAAATAACAATCGTTAGCTAATGGCCTCAAGAGCAATAAAGTTCTTTATTTTCCCTAAGGGTGAAGTATAATGTAAGGACAGGTGATCTCCAAATAGATTTGAAGAAGTATAAAAACATTTTAGACCTGAACATAACCTGAATTTAGGAAGGATAATTTGTGATGCAATTGAAACACCAAGAGAAATAGTCTACGATTCAAAATCTTACAATATTTTGACAGCTACGTGTATTAGCGTCGCTTTACCGTTAAAGAAATACTGAAACAATTATAAATGAGACAAGTAGGTTACTTTGCTGGGTAGTGGTTTTATTTGTCTTAACCAAGAGTACTCACAACATGCTTTTTTAGCAAACTAACGCTGCAACAAAATTAATTACATAGTAGAATTATTATATGTTATGGATTATAAAGAGTTATGAATTAGTTGCAGTGCAGGCCAAACGAGCGTATGAGCTAAGAACTTAAACAAGTAAAAATTAGGACAAAATTAGGATTCTGCTACGCGTCGGTTATTCATTCCAATTACTGTTTACTAAATTACTGGTAAAGGTGCCAAGTTACGATTTATATGTCTCCTAATGTAAAGCCTGATTTGTCACAACCTTGCTAGGAAACTGCACGTAACCATGTAACAATCATTTCTGCTGTCGGTTTCCACCTACACGTAGAGCATCGGATAAAGAGGCGATCGATAAATATCAAGTTAGGGCAGGATATAGTGAAATATTACAGTCATGTAATTAATATACCCTGTAGATGCCCTGATGCCCCGAAAATATTTTGGACTTTAAATAATCATGATCAAAATATTCTAGTACTTTGCTTCTATAAACAAAACTAAAAAAATTGTATTCCATCGCTCGAGGTTACTTTGAAAAGAAAAATTACCTCTGAGCCTCTGGCATTTTTTTAAAATTTTTGATAGCATGGTAAATATTTTACATCCAAAGAAAAGGTTTTCAAATTTTATCTCAGTTTCATCTGGTTTTAAGGATCTTTGTGACTTTTGTTGCATGACAGGACTGGGAAAATATATCGATTTGTGATAACAAACAACAATATTTATTTGCTTAAGTCTTGATTCTAATATTTGCTCACCCAAAAGTGTTGAGTATGTCAATGTACTTGCTTCAAGCATTTTTCAATTCATGCTTATCACTATAAATGATTTCTATAATCTGAGATGGAACAAAGGTATAAAAAATACTTGATGTTGATCCTCTAATTGCAATTTCGTCATACATTACTTAGAACTATCACTTGTAATGGTAGCATTGACAGTCTTCTGATTACAATTTTCATCATAGATTACTTAGGACTGCCACTTGTAATGGTAGCAATAACATTAGTCTTGAGATGTTTTAAAAAATAATTTTTCATACCAAAACAAAATCCACCTGCAGGCCGCAAAACCTGTGCAAATGTTTACTCTACAAAATGCGACACTACACAGTTAACCTCGAGGAAAGGAAGAAAATAGATTATTGGCGAGGAACGTTATCGTTGTGAGATAGGCGCGCTTAAGGTATTATATACCATGTAAATATATACACAGGTGAGCTCTGAAATTCACCTAATGTCTTATTTCTTCTTGTATCTCCTCAAGTCCTATCTCGGAAAAACACTTCAGTAAAAAGCGGATTGCACAGGTCTGCTTCTCAAAGGCAGAATCCTGACCAACTGTTGGCGATACATCATCGAAAGAGAACACGAAAATAGCAAGTTGGTTTCGGATGAAAGAAATATTGAAAAAAACATTGAAAGAAACATTGAAAGAAATATTTTTATTACGAATCTCTCTTCAGAGCCAATTTTATCTTGTCAACTGTTGCCTGAGTGGCTTTTATTTTTTTGGCATCATTTTCAAAACCACGCACATTTTTTGCCGCCGCTAAGCTCCCTTGACACTTTGAATAAGACGGTTTCCTATCATAAATTTTACTACATGATACATCAATAACAATACACGCTAGTACATTAAATGTGTACTTACCAAGTTTATTCAGGTCCAAGATGCCAAGCTCTTTAGTAAGCAAGCACGGTGACTTACATCTAACAGTATTACAAACGTTCTTGTAATCGACAACCAATCAGAATGAACTAGCTACTAACGCGTCACTTCTTGCATGTTACGTGATAGAGTAAAACTTGAAATGTAAATTTGTTAGCTATAACGTAACTTAAAATAATTTTGACGCCAACAGTTCCAAATTTGACGCTTGTTACAGGCCTTGATCACCTACCATCAAATAGCTCTTTTTCATTGTCTCATAAATAACATGGTTTGAAAGATGAAAAATAAATCGAGATTTTGTGAATTCAAAAAGGCTAAGTTAAGATTATTCTTTGCCATCCCCGGCTGTTTCCTTTCTGCTTTATGCCATCTATTTACCGTGTGAACTCCAATATCTAAAACTGCAGTAACAGATTTTATCAACGTTTTATCTTGTCGTTGTCTTAATATGTAAATCAGTTAGCTAACGTAATTGATTTCATCTTTGCTCGGTCATTTCCCTGGGTAATTTTTGCTTTTTGCTCTCTTGTCAAATCGTGTTGCCAACGATCTTCACTTGGCAATACCCATACAATCGTGTTCTTTCTATCCTTCCGAATTAAACAAGCAGAGATACAAAAAAAAAGCATAGGACAAAAGAGTCAAAATACAAAAAACAGTGAGGAGAATAACGATGAACTAAAAAAAATTAATTTTGTCGTAATCTGCTCTTAGTACGCCAAACTAGCACTGCATGACTGTGACGTCGCGAGAATCGATAAGCGCATAACTGTTATTACATTTTTAGTTCGGTTTGACGGTGTACGTGTTCCTGCTTTGCCATATCTTTAGTAACCAAGATACAAAGATTAAAATGTATAGATTTTATAACGAAGAAATTGGCCATCTTTTGATCGTTAAATTTTTTCTACGTTGTACACTTAATCCATTTTTGGCTTTCTAAAATATACTTTTTCTATTGTATTTGATACTCCGATCCTAGGCTATCACGATTTCGGAAAAAAATTAATTTGATGAATGAAGTAAAATGAAAACACCACCTCCAAGTAAGCATGATAAATAAACATTTAGATCAATATGTATGAGCCTGCGATGCAATTGACGCTTGCTGACATCATGTCATCTTTCAAGTTGGTTACACGACGCCGATTGAGTCGCTCACAATATGGCGTCTAAGGTGGACGAAGATTCCGAAGAAGGAAGAAAATCTGTTGAAGAACGGTTGGATGGGAATAGAGAAAAATATGAACAGTGCGCGATGGAAGAAGTTAGAAAAGAAGAACATTTAAAAAACAGGTCTAAATTTTCTGCGAACGCGCAGGTAGTTGAAGAGTTGTTTGACAATGTTTCTGGAGAAGATTCTGAAAGTGAAACATTTCAAGATGCAGTTGAGGATTTAAATGAAAAAATTAACTCTTGTAAAGCGAAGTCGAGTGAAGATACGAATGAAGAAGAGAAAGAGGGAAAAAACGAGGTAGCGGAGGAAGAAGAAAGGTTAACACCTGAAGAAAAGGAGGTAAGGATTTTAGAATTCTTTGAGTTTCAATTTATACGGCCTTACATGTTTCAAAAGATTTTCTTACATTTTACATACTGTTATACAGCTTCATCCACGCCTGTAAGCACAGTTTGACTCACGTTTAGTCAAGTCATGCGGATATCTTGCCGAGAGATGTTTCTGATACAAATAATGAGTAACAGTAATTAATTTTATCAGCTTAGCGCTTGCTTTGCATAACAAGTGACAACTGAAGGCACATTTGATATAAAAAAAGGGTCAAGATTGTAAGATAAGGGTGGTATAAGGGGTTCCAAAAAATTTTACCACAAAGTATGCGTAATTAAAAAGTGTGCCAATCTACGTTGTTGTACAATTTGTAGATTTTGTCTCAGATTACCAGAGCTATCTGATAAGAATTAGAACTTCAGCTTGGATTTCTTTTTATTGATTATGGGCACAATCACTTTTCACTTTTTCTTTTACCTTGATTTTGTTTTACTAAGGAAAGAAAAATACAGGCACAGGAATTTAAAGAAAAAGGCAATGATTATTTTAAAAGATCTGGTAAGTGAATATTTGTGGTAAGTGAGTATTTGTACAATGTACTTGTTAGCTAATCAACACTAGAAATTTTCTCGCGGAACTGTTAAATGATATATAGCACAATTTTTTCCTCAAGATAGGTAGTTTGGGGTCAAGATCAACACTGTGCACTGTGTAAAAATCTTGATGTCATCTTGAATTTAGTCAAGACTCTAAACAGAATTGACTAGAGTTACATTATACATGTCTTTTTATCTCAACCATATGTAATATTGATGTGATGTACTAGGGGTACATACTAGTCTAGATCATTGATATAGAAGTTATTGAGAAGGAAATTTATCGGCCATGACTTCTTGCCATGTAAATATTTGAGGATCAGGAATGTTTTGCTATATCTGGATATGACAAAGTACAAAAGATATATTTTTTAGCTTATGATGGTAACCTCCAGATATGCATGCAGATATGATCCACATGCCAAACAGAACAAAATGTCAAGCCTTTATTCTCTTTAGGACAAAGTTATTTTATTTATACCATTTTATTTAATGAATGGTTAAATTTAAAAGTTTTGTTTAGCATAAAAACAGCGATGCCATCAATCTTTCTATCAGATTTCAAGAAAAAAAGAAGATACTGACAGTAATGTTCTCATGTACAGCTCCACTTACCAAATATGAAAAATACTCTATTTACTCTATCATCTTGTTTTTATTTATGAATATGAATATACATGTATGTTAAGGGTCATCAATGTTTCTTTTATTTTTTATTTAGAATATCCTGAAGCTAGAGAACTGTACACCAGTGCAATAAAGATATGTCCAAATGATTTTACAAAGGAAAAATCCATATTTTATGCAAACAGAGCAGCCTGTCTGGTTAAAATGGTATGTTTGCTCCTTTGTGAGACCTATAATATTATGTAATGATTGGTTATCAGAAATAATATTATGATTTAAGGGATAGGATGCAGTGTGAAAAAGACTTCTGATGATTGCTGGGTAATGAACACAAACGTTTTTTTGTTTGATTTCTCTGCAATAACACAGTAATATGTGCACTGTACCCAATATTATTTTTTTCATCAAGTTATCTGTTATGTACAGTAGGTATAACTTTTACTGATAATAATCTTGATATTTACGTGGGTTAGCCATGCTTAACTTGATACTTGATTCAAAGAAATGTTTTTATTTATAGGAGCAACACAAAGAAGCAATAGAGGACTGTACAAAAGGTAGAGATTGTTCATTTTACATTTTAGTTTATAAGTTTTTTTCTTCAAGTGTAGGTTGATAAAGAAAAATTTGAGTTAAATTTTGTGACTGAATGAAATGTTCAATTTTATGATTACCAGGTATAGTGTACTAACAAAAAAAAAAAATAATGATACTGTCTTTATACAATGTACCTGCACTGTAATACTTTGCAGCTGTTCTTTTACTATGGACATGCTCAATTCCAAGTTCCTGCATTAATCTTGTGGGTTTTTTTTTCTCCATCCAGCCTTAGACCTAAACTCGGATTACCTCAAAGTTAGACTCAGGAGAGCTCAGTGCTTTGAACATGAGGACAGATTAGAAGAGGCATTAGAGGGTAAAAATTTATTAATAAAATTTGAGTGTATCATATATACCAGTGGATGGTAGTATATTATATTTTGTATTTTTATTTTCAAGGACCAATTTATTTTGTTTCTCTACAACCAATTTACCTAAAGGTTAAACTTGGTTAAACCCCTTTCCCCAAGACCATCTAAAACTTATTACCCTATATAACAAGCATACAATGCACATTTTTTTTGTGGCTATTCAACATGTGAATTTAGTGTTAAAAGGAATTTTTAAATTGAGCCTTGCAAGTTATCGCGGATTGCTGGATATTCTCTTCTGGCAGGAAAAGTTTTCTTAGATAGGAGTCCTCTCAAAACAAACAAAAAATGTTTTCCAATTGTGCTCACTCATTGTTGTGGCTTTTTTTTCATAAATTCTGTATTTTCTTATTTTCTTTCTTTTCTGCAAGGTGGGACTCCTGGGGCTTTTTTTACAATTATTAAATGTCTAGTTCAATCATCTCTCCAATTGAATTAGTTTTGCATTTACCTTAGTTTTCACACCTTCCTCTCAAAAAGTCAGGTGAGAAACCAAAATCCACCTTGACTTTGTTGCGCGCATTTGAATGTTTCTTAGGCAGTTGGATTGTTTTGAATTTGAGTTCTTATTGGCTTCTCCCTCGTTCTGATTGTCCATATTGGTTTCCTTGGTTTTGGCATTATGGCACTCAAAAGAAAAACCCTCCTTTTGGTGGCAGTATCCTTTAGATTGCATTCTCTAGTTTGGTTCCTTCTTTTTTTTTAATCGAAAAAGGCATCGAGGGTGTATTTCCCTGTTTCCATTTGTAACCCAAGAAAAATCCTGTAAAAGATAAATATTTTTATTCTTAAGAATGTATGGTGAATGTTAATTAAATTTTTGATCAATTTGTTTCAAGATTACCAGAAAGTGTTTGATATGGATCGTTCATCTCATGTGGCAAGAGAAGCACTAATGGTAAATGATTTTGTATTGTCTACTGAATGTTCACTAACTTGGATGCATCTGAGTGGTTACCATATAAGAAAGCTATCTCAATGTACCATGATTTTCACCTTACATTTACATTGTCTATAATAATCTTCAAACCAAGGATTAAGTCAAGTAACATTCCGCTTACAATTTAACTATGGGGTATGTCTCTTTAATGTGAATTTGCTTCTTTTCCTGAACGTGTGAACTCACAATTACATGTAGTCTATTGACAGTGCTACGAACTACTAAACACTATTTATCTGTCCTTATATGCTATGTTTATTACCTATATACTCCTGAGAATCACAGACTTGTGAGAATGGTCAGACAATTTGATTTCAATGAGATGTTTACTTTCTTTTTTTTCTTGACTATCTGAAGAGACTTCCTGAACAAATAAAAGTCAAGCATGAAAAAATGAAAGAGGAAATGATAGGTATGCGTTGAAAAAAGTTTTGATGCCTTTCACAAGGTACTTGCACTTGCTGAATATTGTGTGCATTACGTATCCCTTGCATCACGTGTCCCTTGCAATAACAATGAACACCATGTACAAGTGTACATCTTGCCAAAGTCATTAAATAGTTCCCTACTTAATTTTTGGGAAATTCCAAAGATTTGGAGTTGTGTGAGTTATGACACAAATACATGTACAGCATGTATTGTATTTAATGCAGTTAAATGCAATTTAACAGAGTCAACAACAAAGAGCATTAGCAATCTCTACGAGTCAGCAGTTTTTTGCATGTGCACATGCATCAGAATTCCATGTGCTCTTTGTTTGAGGTGTTCTTGCATGTGCATAACATCATCCAGGCAGTTTTCCCTACGCCTTCCCTCTCTCTTTCCACTGTTTATTCAATGTGATGGGTGCCTGTTTCTCTTTCTTGTGTGGGGGCTCATGGCTGGGTTGCCAGAATTTGCCAGCTATGGAAAAAGTCTCCATCTAGGTGCTGGCTGCCAATAGTGGAAGCTCCTGGATGTTTCAGGCACCCAACCTCCACTTAGTGATGCAGTTGTTAGTTCCATTAAGTGCCCAACTTCAAATAAGGGCCCACCTCAAAAAGGTGCCAACCCTGTTGTTAGGAAAGTTTATTAACCATACCTCAAGTCAGCAGATTACCTGCATTGGGGAATAAACCCCCATCTTGAAAACAAAAGTAAATCATGAAAAAAAAAAGCTATAAGCTTAATGATGTTTGTGTGTTTTTGTTTAACTGCATGACATGAACACTGCAAACTCATGCATCTATTGTATACTATGTCAGTTTTTCATTCTTTGTTGACATTGATTTCTTTTTTGTTTAGGGAAACTCAAAGATTTAGGAAATGTTTTTCTACGGCCTTTCGGCCTGTCTACGGACAATTTCAAGGTTCAACAGGATCCTAATTCTGGAGGCTACTCGGTTAATTTTCAAAAATAATTTAGAAGGCTTGAATAAAGTTCAAGTAGACTGTCTAGAGATTCTTCAAGCACATCTACAAATAGATGGAAGAGAGTAGACAAGGGTATAAAATTGTGGACCGAGCTTTTCTCAAATTATTAAAAGACACATCCAAGCATGAACATGTTATCATTGAGTCAAACAATAAGGGAAAATGAGTAATAGCAGTGAAGAAAGGACTTGTGTTACAGCAGGCCTGCTTCAAGATTGAATTATGAAAAACAGCTCCAAAATATTAGAAAGTTCATTATGCTTTTGGGACATATTGTGATGGTATGACATGGCACTAAAATATGGCACTATATTAAGGCACAACAATGCGGCACTCAGTTTTTGTAATGATGATGTTTTTCAAGAGCAGTCTGGTATAATTATATTTTACTTTGTTACTTACCATAGAACTCTTGCCTCCTATTTTGTTTTTCAAACATGTGATCACAGTTTGTTTCCGAAACAAATTCATAAATGTTTTTCTGTGATCCAAAATCTGGTGTTATTGTTGCAGTTTCATTCCTGTTGAGGTAACACTTTTTACAAGCCTTTACCAATTTGCTCATACCTTCCTTGTTATTTCCCTACTCTTTCTTTTCCTCCCTTGTCACTTTTCTCCCTGCCTTTTTCACTTTTCCCCCACTTTATTATCTTCAACTTTCTCCTTCTGTTCTCTCAGCATACTTTCTTCTCTTCCCTCTGACCCTTCTCCTACATAATTCATTGCCTCTCTCTCTCTCCTTTATTTCTCTCTGCCTCATGCCCTTACTTTCCTCCCTGCCTTTTTCATTCTTCCCACACATTATTTAACTTTCTCCTTCTGTTCTCTCAGCCTTCTCTCCTCCCTTCCTTTCCACCCTTCTCCCAAATTATTTATGGCCTCTCTCTCCTCTATCTCTCTCTGCCTCATGCCCTTACTCTCCTCCCTGCCTTTTTCTACTCTTCTCCCACATTATTATGTTCAACCTTCTTATTCTCTCCTCTCTGCCTACTTTCCTCCCTGGGTTTCCTACCCTTTCCCCTAATTTCCTCTTTGTCTCCCTTCATAAGTGTTGCACCACCATCTCATTAATTCACTCTTTAGAGTGAGGGATATACAGGAAGAATTGCAAACATTGGTGGGCTTATTGGTAATTGATCCCTTACTGTAGTAGTGTCCTCACGAGATTATATTTTCTATTGTTGTACTAGGTGTATTACATACAGTCCCCTTTGGTACATCTTTTTTTATGTGTGGGATGGAAATCCTAAGACTGCGAAAAATTAAACAGATTGGAAAGGCAGTAGCTTTGGATTTTAACAACTGTTCTCCAGAGGAACAAATATAGGATTACAACTGCTTTAGTTAGATCACACCAAAAAGTGTATTTTAGTCTTAAATTTCTGCCATTTAAACATTTTAACCCTTTAGCTCCCATGAGTGATCAAGAAAGAATTTCTCCTTACAATATCGATACAACATCAAGATAAGTGATGAGAATAAAGAAAAATATAAATTTGGGGATAACTAGTTGATCCAATACTGAATTCTCTGAACAAATATTGAATGAATTGTATGGTTGACAGTAAGGAGAATTACAAATTTGATCTGGGAGTTAAAGGGTTAAGAGGGGAAATTTAGAGGATTGGCCCGTATAGTCGCGGGATCTATCCTCGCGCGGGCAAAACAGCACACGCGCGTCCTTCATGTGGTCACTGCCCAAGGAACGTCACGTGATAAGTTGCGTGAATTTCAACGGTCAACAAGGAGCTGTAATTTCCTTCCAAAATCTCACACGATCGGATCACGCACTGATTTAATCAGAATAACACGAAAAGTTAGCTGAAGGGTGTGCACTTAAGGGGATGGAGGTTATTTCTCGCGTATTTCAGCTGACTACAACCGAAGCTTCGACAACTGACAACAACCAAGTACAAATCGCAGAGAAGCCTCTCGATCAGATCTTGTCCACTACAGCAGCATCACTTTCTATCCTGGGATCTTTAACTATTATTATCACGTTCTGCCTGTGGCCCGATGTGAGAACAAAATCTCGTCTTATGATCGTTTTTATATCGGTTTGCGATCTCCTGGTGGCCAGCTTCAACATAATAGGCATCTTTTTGAACAAGGACCCAAGAACTTGTAAAATCCAAGCAACGGTTAACATCGCTGCCATTTTGTCATCTTTCTTTTGGACCGTTTATTTATCCCTTTATTTTTATTTGACGATTTGCAAAAAAATTACTGAGAGGACGGAGAAAATCACTATGTGGTTGTTTCATGTAACGGCATGGGGAATTCCTGTGGTGATAGCAGCGGTAGGCTTTGGGGTACAAGCAGTAGGAAACCCCCAGGACATGGTGTCATCGGGATGGTGTTGGATCAAGTATGGAAGTGGAAAAGCATGGTGGTGGACTGTTTTGTGGATGTCCATTGCTGGAAAGGGATGGGAAATCTTAGCATACATTGCAATTTCCGTGTTCTACGTTTTGGTTAAGTTGCAAATCAAACATGAGGTAGGTGTTACCCGTTTGACCCCACTCCACGGCCTCAATCCCTCTCTTCCATAACATTCAAGTACCCACTGGTAAGCACACCCATCAAATTGCCCTTGATAGGGTCCGCACAATCAACACTGTCAGTATTGGAGACCGGAATTGTAACAAAATTACGCTTTTACAGAAAAGAGGGCTGTGCAGTGGGTGTAGAACAGTACAGACATTTCTTCTTATTGTTTCGTTTTGTTTTGTTTTCCATCTTTATAGCTGAATTGTGGATTTGTTCCAGGAAGCCATTTTCTGACTCTGAAATCAGTTGAAGTGGCAAGAAAGGCAGAACTAAAATTAATATTTATCCCTGTGGTGTTCATTTTGTTACGCATCTGGGGAACCATAAGATTTATTATTTTCTTGGCTTATCACCCGTGTCACCCACCCGCGCAGAAATGGCTCATCATACTCCATGTAAGTACTTTACTCGATTGCCTCTAAAGTTTCCTTTGTGGTTGAATTAAAATAACAACATATATCCAGATATTTTTTCTTGTCAGAATTTACAACTAAAGAATTTAGTTCAAATTTTCTCATTTAACTTTTTCATATTTCTAGATATTATATAATAAGCTCAGTTATGCATGCATTCTGATTGGTTCTCACTTATGATCTATTGGAGGACAGATGTATAGATGACATCATCATTAAAACTTTTTTTCTATATATTTTAATTCTTTATTATATAAAACAAATAGATTCCAAGTTGCCATGCGTC